TCTGACCTGAAGACCTAAGTGCTCGGGATGAAGCATGAGGTTTCAACAGGTCAGAGATATACTGGGGAGCTTCACCATGCAGAGCTCTAAAAGTTACAACTAAAATTTTAAAATGAACCCTAAAATTTACAGGCAACCAATGAAGAGAAGCCAAAACTGGAGTAATGTGTGACCTTTTTTTTATACTTCATTTATTTTAATTTCCAAAACTACAATTCATAGTAAGGAAATAAAGAGAGAAGCAAGAAAAGAGAACATATATCATAGCCAAATGTAATGTACATATAAAAAATTACATATATAAAACATAAACCACAGTATGACAGGGAGTGGCTAGATTAGAAAGACCCAGAATTTGTATACAAATTCACTTTATTTAGCTTTACACACCCCGTGTTCATAGCCTTTCAAATTTATACAAAATGCTTAAAATGATGCAAATTAATCTTTTCTCAAATACTTTTGTCAATTCTCATTTTTTATCATTTTGTGATCATCTTTGTGGAAATCTTTTAAAATGAGTCACAAATGTCAGTGTAATTTGGTTTTTATATTTGTAACTTTGATGAAATGTTTGGGAACTATTTTATGCTGCACATTAATAGAACGCTTGCGGATTGCCGAGTATATCCAGCGGCCAAAGGCTGTGAATTGGATTGGGTAAAAGTAAACTGAAGTTTGTGTGTTCACACAATGAATAGTCACTGCGACAGTATGACTCCCTGGTATGTTTTAATGGACAATAATAGTGCTTTGTGGTGCAGAGATAGAATACATAATCGAATAGAATATATCTGAACTTGATCTTGATGCACTCTGTTAACTCCAGTGAGCTTTCACATCATCATCATCTACATTTCACTGTAAACTAATTCTTGCTCTTCTTGTCCTCTGCAGATCATCCTCAACTCCATGCACAAATACCAGCCACGGGTCCACATCATAAAAAAGAAGGACCACACTGCCTCGCTGCTCAATCTCAAATCTGAGGAGTTCCGCACCTTCGTCTTCATTGAGACTGTCTTCACAGCTGTCACAGCCTACCAGAACCAGCTGGTGAGTGATTGTTGACTCCTGCAGGCTTAAGGACTCTGCCAAAAATCTGCTGCTGGTTCCCATGAAATTTTTAAATTATAAAGATTGCCACAAGCTCCATTTAAGAGTGAAGCCTTTGATTGTATCACATGGGCCTTATCAGCACAGCGATTTGTGCTGTCTGAGCAATTTAAGGACTTCTCATCCTTGGAAAGGGTAAAGGTTGAGATTAAAAGTGCACTTTAGACCTAACGAAGATCGAGAGATACCAGGTAAAAGCTCAAGCGTGCATCCACTTCTGCCTTTAAGACAGTATAGTGTAAATAATATATACAGTACAATATATCGAACAACTTTGTTATTTGATTGACACCATATACCGTAATTAAAGCTCGTCTTTGTTAGTGCCTCATTGGTGGGTGTATGTGTTGGACATATATACAGTTGGTTGTTTCTATACCTATTCAGTTTAAAATTTCATCTGTAATAAACCCCATGACGTTAGCCTGAATGTGTAAATCAAACAAGAAAGTTGTTCTGCATAATGAAAGTGCTGAATAGCTTGTCTGCTGTCTTTATCTCCTTCTTTGTGCACCTTGTAAGTAGGTGAAGTTGATCCAGAACAGAATTTCTATAAGAAAATCATGTTTCTTATGATTTTTAATTAGTTGTGAAATCACAGTTTTCCCCAATAAAACTAAAATAATTGATTAAAATTGTGACCTGCAAACCTTTTGGTGCTGTGCTGGTGGAAATAAATAAATAAATAAATCTGGTCATTTAGAATTTAATTAATTTAATTGTAAAAGTGTCGATGAAATAAGAGCTGAGAAATTGTACTGCTTTTCCTGTGTGTCCCTTTATTTACTGCTTCTTTTGTAGCACAAAGAGGAGACATGCATACAGACATTAAAAAATATAAATAGCTTTAAAACCTGGCTGTGCTTTGGGCTTCTGTGGATGTCGTAGCTGCAGAGAACCAATGTGAAGAGACATGTTGACTCAAAAAAACAATAAAATGAGGTGTCAAACCTGACCTGACTGACTCGTTTCACTCTCCTGCTCCTGTGTTTTCCCAGATAACCAAACTGAAGATTGACAGCAACCCGTTCGCCAAAGGGTTCCGGGACTCCTCGCGGCTGACGGACATGGAGAGGTACATGGGATTCTGGGTCCTGCACTGTTTGTTTACCTCTCTCCCCACCGCTGCGGATAAGACACACGATTAGGGGGGAGTGTTAGATAGCCGGGGTTGCTGCTCATTAGTAAATACAGATGCTGGAGTGTTTATTTCCCTCTGTTTGTGTCAGTGAAGAACAGATAATCCATGCTCCACATACTGTACTCTGTCATTCTTTCTGTTCTTGCTTTCACATCTTTTATTCTTGTTTTCTTGTGTCTTCATACAACCCTTGTACTTTTTATTCCGTCTTTGCTTTAATTTTCATTCATCCATTTTTAAAAAAAATAGTTTATATATTTCTCCCCAGTTTTGTCTTTTTTCTTTTACTTGGTCTCGCTACTTTTCTTTATTTTCCCTTTTTGATTCCCCTCAATCCTTTTTCATTGTCCCCTTTTCCTTAAAATTTTCATTTTACTTTTTCTTTTCCAGTTTTTTTCTAGTCTGTGTATTGTATCCTTCTTCTTCCTCGTCTCTATTTTTATTTATTAGTTCACATTCTCTTTGCTTACCTTCTTGATCATCCTTCCCTTGTATTTCTTTTTTCTTTCAGTCTTCCCTTTCTGTCCTCCCTCTTTACCTTCTTTGTTCTTCATTTCTGTCTGTCTTATCTTAAACAAATTTTAAACACTGAAACTCCCAGCTATCATCCTCGTTTCTTTCCCCCATCACTTGTGCTTCCCCCCTTTAGTCCTTTTATCTTGCTTTTCCTTTTGTTATATGTTCTATTTTCATTTCTCTATATTCTGCATGAACAAGAAGAGTTTGTCTGTCCTTTATATATATATATACACACACACACACGTAGAGTTATAAATCACCCCTCCAAAGGATTTTTTTTTATGAACGCTGCCAAAACACACACTTCTCGTAATTCCCGATTCCGGCACTACGGCCGAAATCAGCTGACAAAATCAGACCATCTGCCCATTTCCTTCAATCAAATATCCCAAACAGAGACTGTCGAAAAACAGCCAGACAAACACTCCTCCTCCCTCCTTCTTCTCCTCTGTCTTTCTCTTTTTTGAGGGCTGTGAATTAGACCAGATCAATTGATCTTAGGGAGCTGCAGAAATCACATTAGTCTGGAGTCGGCCACTGCACTAAAACACACTGTAATTCAATTGGCTGCAATGACTGATTGAAACCAGCATGCCCCGCCTCTTCCCCTCCCTGTTTGCCTCCCGCATGATGCTGCGTATTGTGGGAGTTCACGGTGGCCCCTCTGCCGGAGGGGCCCGACGCTGATAAAAACACACACATTTGTACTCCTCTGCTGACAGATATTGCACTTTCCTAACCTAATTGGAGGCAAAAGGGCTGCAAGGAGGGGGGCTGCTAATGTGAACGCATGGCTCTCGTGATGCAGACCACTTGCCTGTCCACCCAGCCATGCACACGCACTCGTGAACACTCACTACCCCCGCAACAATTTGTGTCACTGTGTTTGAGAAGTGCTGTCTGACAAGACTCAAATGAGCTAATGCACTTTGTTGGATAGTAAACACACACAGAAGACGCACACACAAACCAAAATCTACATGCACAGTCAACACAAACGTTAAAATACACAAAAGGGAAATTCACACTTAGACATGCTGCCAAAAAACATCACGTAAAGAGGAAAAATCCTGTTACTGCACAGAAACAAAGAATGGACCAAAAGGCAGATACTAGAAAATTGCACTGGTATTAAAAATAAATCTGTGACCTGTCAGTTTCAGTGTCACTAACCCCTGAACATTATACATTAGATTATAGGTGAAAAACCCAACTCATTTTAATTTTTTTTATTCTGATCTTGATGTTGTATCTGTTTTATGTTGTCAGACATTAATGGATAATTGAAGTTTCTATCAAAACTATTCAACAAAACTATTTTTGCAACTATTTTATTAAGCACCTAATCAAATATTCTAGAAATTATGTTTTATAAAAAAAAAAGTGACAGAGTTTCTTTTTTGTTCAGTCTGCATCTCAACAAATAAAAAAAAATATTTAAAATGACAAAAAGAGATTTATTTTGGGGCTCTCTCTTCGGCTTTTGCTGTAGGGAAAGTGTTGAGAATCTGATCCACAAGCACTCATACGCCCGGTCGCCGATCCGAACCTACGCGGGTGACGAGGAGAACCTGAGCGAGGACGGACACGCCTCACACACCAGAGGTAAACGCTCATAAATGCAGACACCACAGATCCTGTGAAAGCATCATATTTGGTGAAGCTAGTACTCAGTAGATTTCTTTCATTTCCTTTTTTTTTTTTATCTTCTATATAAAATAGAAACTCATCATTCTCTTCATCATTTTCTGCAGTTACAATTTAAGTTAAGGAAGTTTACCATTTAAAAAATATAGGTGTACTAATATTTGAGGGATAATTACAGTGCCACTGATAACCAAACATGACCTAGTGAGTGTATGTGGGAAGAAAACACTTTAACAGCTACTAATGAACAAATACTTGGAAAATATATTAGTAACTAAGAACTACAAAATGCATAATAAAAATAATATAGAGGCTATTTGTCATATACACAATATATGACAAATATGACATTTTGATATAGCATTGATATGAAGACCAATATCTGTGAGTTTTCTACTAAATGTAAACGTGTTTGTTTGGGGGGGTGTTTGGAGCTTTATAACGTCTGGAGTCAGGAGAGAGGACTTCATTTTAGCTGATGCAACATCCAAAAATAACTGAAAATAGTAAGACTACAATGTCTACACAAAGCAGGAATCCAAAAAACAAGCAGCTAAGTAACAAAAAAGGCAGAAAATAAAACTAGTACAAGAAACTCGCCTTTAAAACAAAGCAGGAAGTATCACAGTATAAATAACTAATACTGAGACATGAAGACAAACACATAATGAAAGACACAGGAGAATAAAGTAGATCAGGGAAACTAGAAAGATGGAAAAACACTAATACAGCAGATGTAGTACAAAAATCCCAGAGACCATGACAGGAATTTAAAGTTGGTTTAAATCCAGTTTTATTACATTTATGTTTCTGAAATCTATTTGTATCCCAACTGAACTGACATTCATCTGTCTCTTGTAGGCTCAGCGTTCACCGCCTCAGATAACCTCTCCCTGAGTTCCTGGGTCACCACGACTTCAGGTTTCTCAGGTTTTCAGCACCCACAGTCCCTATCGGCCATGGGAACCGGCACCGCTTCCCTGCCCCACCCCATCCAGGGCTCCCTGCCCCCTTACAGCCGACTGGGCATGCCGCTGACACCCACCGCTCTGGCTGGAACCATGCAGGGCAGCGGCCCCTCTTTCCCCTCCTTCCACATGCCACGCTACCACCACTACTTCCAGCAGGGCCCCTATGCTGCCATCCAGGGACTCCGCCATTCCTCCACTGTGATGACACCATTTGTATGACTCCATCTTGGAGAGGAGATGGATGAACCTCGCTCTGACACTCACCCGTGTTTCGGAGCATCAAGCTCTTTCCTCACTCCTCATCCAGTTTGTATCTTTCCCTTCGGTCTTTGTAAATAGTTCACCTACAGTAAGTGAGGTGACGGTCGTGACATAAAGAGGATGAGGTGTACTGACAGCCAATCAAAAAAGGACTGTGGCGCCATCCTTTGGACCTGCGGAAACACCAGCAGATCCTGTGGTTTCTACGAATGCTTAAAAGACACTGTACAAACACTTGTGACCTCAATACAAACTAAAAAATCTAATGCAAGGTGATAACAGGAGCATGTTTGATCTTGGCCCTTCTTGAACAGAAAGTGGATCTTTGACTTATTTAAAGAAACAAGTAGAAAACCCTGTCTTCCCTTAAACAGGCACTAATGGTAGCAGGGGCTCGACCGGCTCTAAAGATGGCAGGCAATTCTGTGGTTCTCCAAAATGACTCACAACTCCACCGGATGGACACCGAGGCTCAGTCTGTGAACATTTCAGCATGTCATCAAGGCGGAGCAGCCATCTCAGGTTTCCTCTGTTTTGGAGAAAACCAGCCATATGTACAGTTGAAAGTCAGAACTTAACACTGTTTCACCCACAGTGTTTCGAAAATAATGTCAAAAAACATGTTAAAATGCATTGTACAAAGGCAAACGTGCTACATTTACTCATAGGAAAATTGTCACTGTGGAGTTAAACAAATAATAGGACGCATGCTGACCGCAGTAGACATACACACTTTGTATGGAAAAATATGAGCCAAAAAAATAATAATGAAAAGGTGGTTTTTGCTTTGTTTAAAGGACCAGTTAATGGAAGCAGCGAAGTTGCTCAAACCACAGATGTATTGAGAGAGCTGGATAACATGCTACTACTGCTGATTTTTTTTCTTGGTGCCCGTTTAAATCTCTATAGACACCTGAAACTGAAGGTTAATATGATTGCCGTTTGTTTAAATAATGTTTAATCAGTGATCTAGAGGTGATTTGAAAAAGATCCTAGCAAGAAGATCTTTTTGGCATTTTTAGGCAATTTTCCTTATATTTTAGTATTCCTAAAAAAAATGGCACTCAAGTGTCTTCAGAGGAGTCACACTTTTAATTATGTGTAACTTCAAGACAAAGTACAGTCTAAACTGTTGAGTTACATAACAGTTCACTTGCACCACAGTTGTCATGAAAGGGGAAATTAGCTACAGAGGCCATAAACAGTTTTTGTCACAGGCTGTAAACCTGTTTAATTCTCCTGTAAAGTTGGGCATTTTAACCTGGGTCAGCACTGACTCACTTTAGCAACAAGCCTCAAGTGGCCATTTGGGGAACTGCAGTTTTTGGCATTTAAATTTATCCCAGTTCTTATAATACGTCCATGGTAAACACATGCAGACCTTTAATCTAAGATTCATCTTTGAATTTAACACAAGTCCCACCACGGACCAACAGCAAACTATCTAGACAGAGGCGGAGATAACCCAAAGCTATCATGGCCTCGTAATCACCACGTTTATCTGTGATAGAAGTGTCATAACGTCGAGTTCTTCAGCATTTCATTTTTTAATTACCTGATCAACTTTACTTTAGCATACAGTGTAGCTCAGTGACTTGTCCTTGACATCTGAAACCAACGATCCAACACGTCGTGCTTGCTCATCTCTGTGGAGTCGAGAAAGTACGCTTGGTTTGACGAAAATCGTTCGATTTAAGAATGATTTCACACAGACTGATGAATTTCACTATCTTTGTATAGTGACTGGACTCTAACTAAATCACTTCAATGACACCTTTTTTTAAATAGCTGTATATTAATTTGCTTAGGTTAGTGAAAGTGGTTGAGTGGCCCTTATAAATCTACTCTGACTGGCCTCTAATGGGCTGAATTGCGACTCATTCACTGTAGTCTGTTTTATATCAAAAGGCACATAAAACAGGGTGAAATGTAAAGTAGAAATATAAACCCAGACTCCTCCTTGCTTTCAGCCTTTTGGTGGTCTGTCTTCATTGGGCGTTACAGAGGCTGAATGTGTGTATGTGGTGACAAGACACAGCTGGAAATTTTGTCTCTTGGGTCTCATTTAAAGCATGCAGAAATGAGGAAGTTGGCTCTCACACTCAGTTACAGTCATTTATTTTAAAAGCTCTGATGACACACAACAAGGTCATTTTAGCCAGTATCTGTGGTCTATAACTGAGTCCTAAAAACTGCAGTTGATGATAAACCATCCAGGCCAATATGCAGACTGACATCAATGTAATCTGAGCCTTTATGCCAGAAAAATCAAATTAGTTTGTACTCAAAAAGTGAAACGATTTACCTTAACAGTTCGATTACTTCAACCTGTGCTGTGGTACAGACTTTCATTTTAAAGACGAACTCAAAAAATAAAAAGAATAATCCCATCACTACTGATAAAATGTGCGGTATGGATGGAGTTTTTTTGCTTGTTTGCGTTGTGTATTTTGATTAAAGGTTTCCCTTTAACACTTCTCTGCAGTTGCACAGCGATCAGCACAGAGAAAAGATTGAAATTAAGCTGAAAGAGCAACATGAGTTGGTTAAACAAACACTGTAAATGTCCCAGTTTGACTCATGCCATATATTAACATCACATGTAGCCTAACGCAGCAGAACTTGATTTTATCTCAGCTGTGTAGTGAGCAAGACGGGGAAATGTACGTGTTGTGGAAATCAAAGTCCTTTTCTGTTGTTCACTGAATGGTGATTTCCATGTTGATGTAAATGTTTAACACCTCCGAGTCGCAATTCAATTCAATTCAATTGATTTGTTTTCGAAATTGTTTTGTTTTTAATGCCATAATCCAAATACACCCAGTGAGATTGTGTTTTGATGATTTTTAAGTGCAATATATTTATTTTATTCTGCTGTATAGAAATAATGTGTAATGTACTATGCCGCATCTAAAAAAACAAACAAAAAAAAGTTATTTGTAAACCATGAGAAATATATATATATCACCACCCAGACACTGAGCGCCTTTTATTGACGTTTTTTCATTTACATCTGCTTGATCAAAATCACAGATACTCAGTAATGGAATGAAATATTTATGCTTTGTCTTTTCTTTAAAAAATAGATTATAATCAGGTATTTAGAAAGGTTTGTGTAATGCTGAAATAGAGTAAATATAAAAGCAAAAACAAAAGTTCAGTATAAAAAAACAAAACAAATGAAGCTTCATCAGGATTTAAGCTGCGTCAGCCCATCCTGCATCACCACCTAGTGGTCAGTCTGCATCCAAGCCTCACTTAATGCTGATGGTATTTTTTTTGCTCTCTGAAACTTTGAAGCTTCATGCACTTTGACAGCTGCACTAATCAGAAACACCACAAGTCCAGATAATACCAAAGAGCTTTGTGGTTTTGGTTATGCAAATGATGAGAATTTTAACATTTTCAAACTAAGGCTGTGAGTTATAACACAGCATTTAACTGCATTCTATTAGTGTTGTGGTTTATCTCTAAATACTGGAAAGGTAATCAATTTCAGTTCAATACAGAACTCTTTACTTTACTGTGACACTGGGCAAACTAATAGAATAGAATAGAATAGAATTCAACTTTATTGTCATTGCACATGCACAGGTACAGGGCAACGAAATGCAGTTTGCATCCATCCAGAAGTGCTTTAGCCATGATATAGATATATTACAATATATATTAGCAATAATATAGATATGTAGGTATATTACAGAAATGGGTCTATTATGGTATGTTATAATGTACACAGTATGAAATATGTTATGAATATTCTATAACTATAAGTATATACAGGCTGTAGTGAGTACAAGCTACTGGCTATGAACAGGATATAAATATGAAATAAAAAACTATACAGAAATGAGATATACAGTTATACAGAAATGTGAACTATGCAGGTTATAAACAGTTGTAGAATTAAAAATTATCGTATGTACAGAATGATTATTTACACAGAATTAAACAGTAGTGCAGTTAAGATAAGTGAGATATGTGGATAATTTCTACAGAGGCTATATAAAATGCTAGTGGTTGTGAGTGGTGATTCAGTCCATGTTACCAGTCCATAATACCAAACTATAAGCCATTAGGTTGATTTTAGGTTTATAAATTGTGTTCATTGTAAAATGAAACCATATCTATGTTACAGTTTGGAGCATGGAGCAGATCACAGGTGATAGCAGGAACTGATGCCACAGGTTAACCGGAGTGAATCTGAAGCAGCTACATGAAACTCAGCTGCCATTTATTCAAGTCTTTACATCTGTGCTTCTTCAACTGACCTCCACAAAATTGCAGTGGAGGGGAAGTTAATATTTACAATGGGGGCGGGATTTTTTAATTCAGTGGTGTAACATCAGGCCGCTGCTGCCCTGCTCCGACTGCAGTGTATAGAAAAAAATGGGTGATATAAATGATCTAAGCAGGAGCTAAAAAAAAAATCACACTATATCATCTCTTTAAAAAGAAAAGTGTAATTTATTTTGAATAATTCTGTATATTTATTTATTTATATATTGATTACTAGGAAACAAATGAAAGTGGTCACTGCATTAACAGTCTGGGTGTTATACATATCTCAGCTATGTTTAAAAATAAAAGTATTTCCTGCTTTTCATAAGCATGGCACCCTGATAAAAACCAGGACATAGCAGTACATAAAAACTTTATCTGGGTGCAGAGGGTAAGAAAAAACATGAAGCACAATTAAGATGATACAAACTATAATCAGGACCAGTGTTGGTCAAGTTACTTGAAAACAATAATCCAGTTCCTTCACTGATTACTTATTTTCAAAAGTAATTAGTTACTTTATTACTTAGTTACTTTTTAAAAACATGATAAAAAAAACCTGAATACGTAATAAAGCAATAGACCTTTCAGCCCAATTTCTGCACAATCCATCATATAAAATTGAATCAAATTATTTTCAAAAGTAATTAGCTACTTTATTACTTCTATTTATTATGCATAATACAAGTGAATCAAATGAAAAAGTCTCTTTTTAAAAATTGCTTTATGAGT